GCCGCTGGCGCCGCGCTGGGCCTCCAGCGCCTCCAGTAAGGACGCCCGTTCACACCGCCCGCACCACGCCGCACCAAGCAACTCACACGCTGAACCGGTCATAGTGCAAATGAAGGGAGTCACGTGGTATGGACAAGGAAAGAAGACGGACGATCCGTGGCGTGGCGTAGCGTGGATCCAAAACAAAACAGAACGGCTGGACTCCACAATCACATCCCATAACCAACTTGAATATTTTACCGCTCTATGTACTACTATCACCGCAGAAAGAATTGAACCCTTTCAGCTTGGAATATAGTTATCAGAGGGAGGGGTTCAGTTCTTTTTGCGGTGACAGTACCACTGGTGACATTCTCCGGAAAACCTGTTTGAACTTGTATAATAATCCCTTCCGGTAAAGCTGAGAAGCGGAAGAATGCGGGGAACAGGAAAACGGAAGCCCCCGTGTTATGGCATAGTGGTCACGCTCGAATGCAATCAAATTCAAAGTGGCTGGAAGATCGGGCGTTATCGCATATCGACCAGAGCCAGCATTTATTTTGCACGCTTGCAAACACTTGTCGCATTCAGGTTCACAGACAGAAACACTCGAAATGTCCCAGGACAATTAATGTAACTTGCACCGGTCTTGTGTGTGCATAACTGAGTTCAGATTGTGACACTAGTTGTGTGTTGCTAGCTACGAAATTGTATACATAGAGTGCATGAACTTACCGGTGAACTGCCTTCGCGAGTGCTTATTCCAACAGGGCTCCGCCCTCACAGAACGGCGCAAAGACAACAGCAACGTTTACTAACAAATTAAATCTATCATACTGAAATATGGCACGGTAGGTTTGTACTATTCGATTCTCGAGCGCGATCGCGGTTTTCCTCTTGGGAACCGTATCTTGCCGTCCCCTGTTCCCGATCCGGCGCGTCCCGCGAGCTCGGCCACCACGGCCGACAGCGAGTGACTGCTGCCGCTGACAGTCTGCGCCCGCCTGGCCGCCCGGCCGCCTGGGAGGAGCCGGCGCATACAAGCGTGGCGGGGAAGGGCCGCGCGGGGCGAGGCGGGGAGGAGAGCGGGGCAGGGAGGAGAGCGGGTGGCCGCCGCGCCGGGACAGCGAGGGAAAGGTGCTACGCCTTCGGGGTACCGGTCCGTCCAGACTCGCGACCACAACACGCACGTGACCTCTCAGAGCGCGCCTCACCCGCGACCGCGACGGCCCGGCGGCCCGGCGGCCTGCGGCGGCGGCGCGGAGTCTGGCGCGGCCGAGGCGCCCGAGCGCTAGGCCACCCAACGCACGGCCCGGCTGCCGCGCTGGCCTGTGCGCACGGCTGCCGCCCGCGCCGCAGCTGCGACTGCCCGTTTCCATTGTAAAAAGGACTGCTGAATAAACAATACTTTTAAAACGGCCGGCAATTACTTGGAGCCAGAGGACCTCTCTTCTCCTACCCATCCTCTTCTCCCCTAACCCCCACCCCCCTCCGGCGGAGACTGACGCCCAACTGGAGCCGGGGAGCTGGAGGAGGGGGAGGAGTGGTTGATTTAGGGGTCCGCGGCCGGGGCCACCCCGCGGGGCTCCTGAGGTAGCCCCCTCCCCCCCTCGCGAGCTCAGGATAAATAAACCCGTTGGGGTGGGGGAGGGGGGGGGGAGCGAGCCCCGGCCCCGGCACTGCCAGCACCGACTGCCTTGTACCCGTTAAAACGTTATCTCGGCTGGAGTTTCTCTCGCGGCTGGAGCCACAAGTTTCATTATTATTACTAGTATTATGACGTCCTGAAACGAGATCCTCTCGCCTGCAGCACGCCCCCGGCGGGGGCAAAGAAGGGGGGGGGGGATAGGGTTGGAGCGGCGGCGGGGGGTAAGTCGAGTCCCTCTCTAACTTTTGTCTCGACTTTTTAAATTGCGCGCGTCCACACCCCGTCCGCCGCCTCTCCCCCGCCGGGGCCCCCCTGACGGCAGCATACGCTCGATGTCTCCGCCGCCGCTGCCTTCACAGCCTCAGACCAAGCGGGAATATCCCTCTGGTTTCCACCCGCGCAGGCAGAGCGGTCGCGGTGGCACAGCGCAGGGGGAGAAAAAAACAACACCAAAAAACTTGTTGGTCGTTCCGGCCGTGATGCGACTCATGTTTTGTGGGACGAGGTATGAGCGATCGTTTCCGATACTTTGCGCAGCGACGGGCGATAAATTTTGGCGCCAACCCTGGGTGCTGGTCGGCCTGCACCCCCTCCCTCCTCCCGCGCACCTCCCCTCGTACCACCTTACCTGCAACTTTCTACCACCTACCGCTCTGCCCCGTCGCACCAATTCACGGCCTTCCCTCACATCCTCTGCCTCCCCCTTCCTCTTCCTGGTCTGCCCCCCTCTCTGCCAACATCACCTCCCCCGCCGCCCCCCGGTGAGGGGCTAGGTGGCCATTTTCCTTGCGGCCGCTACCCGCTGGGGAAGGTGCGTGATCCGCGCCAATAAACTAACTTGTTTATTCCATACCATTTTTCCTGAGTGCACTTTTCTGCGCCTGCCGGAGAAGGGGTTGGGGTTGAACCCGGGGGGAGGGGTAGGCCGAACTCCCTCGGGGCGCGAGCCACACTCGCGTCGGTGGCGGTGACCACCCTTCTGGGTCGCTCTCTCCGCCCCCCTGACCCACACGGAGGTGCGCCGTCACAAGTCATTAGCACCGGCATCGCCGAGACCATAACGGTGTTAAATGGTATTTGAATTTGAGTTATTCGCAATCAAGTACTTGTAAAGAAAAGGGGGGAGGGGGCAGCGGTATGGTCGGGAGCAGTTTATTTATTATATTACGCGTAATATCACATAATCATACCTGTTAACCATCACCCTCCGCCCCCTTTCCCTTGACTCATGTCTAGCGACTTAGCGACTTGCCCCGCGCGCGCGCTCTGTCGACCGAAAGCGAAAACTTTCAGTTTCAACCAGGTTTTGGGGCGAGCAAGAGCAATCGGTCTCGTCGTCTGCTCCGTCCCCGTTCGCTTCGTGTGTCGTGTGGTTAGCGTTTGACGTTGCTCGCCGGTAAACTTGACCGCTAAACTTACATTATTTGCCAGATTACTTTGCATCCGTGTTCTCGAGGCACTGCCAGTATTTTGCACGACCGTTGTGATTAAATTATTCTAAAATTTCGTTTCCGACCTTTTAAAGCATTGGTGCTTTTGTTGGTTATAAATGTTTGACGGTTAGTGTAACCGACGTTGCAATGGATCGCACCAGTGTTTTCTGCAAAAAGTATACGTCAACCGTAAACACCAGGTAAGTTTCGAGGCAATGTGATATAGAGGGGCTCAAAAAATCATGACATAACCTCAACCGCAATTTGTTTGTAAACCGCGCCACGTGCTACGCGCTGGTGCTCCGCCGGCCCCGTCAGACTCCTCATAGTCACGGATCGCGCGTTTTATGATGCCAGAGCAGTTAACTGGACTACAGTAATGAAAGTAATAAAATTCATCCCCAGCCCTGCGTAGCTGGGCAACACGTATAGCAAACTGCGCCATGACCAATCGGAGGCATCTGCCCCAACCAACAGTTTATTACCTAGTATATTTGTGTTTTTGCTGACAAAGCCAGTACTTACTGTTTTTTTCTCCCTGCCGCAGACTGCCCTGTCCTGGTTTATGGTCGTCGTGGACCCCGGCGGGCGCGCAGCGCAGCCAGCAGGTTGAGCACCCCGGCGGTGGCGGGATCGACTCCCCGGCCCTGACTCAGCTCAACTGCATCCCCTGATTCCAGACGGGCAACTCAGTGCCTCCGCTTCGCCCAGCCCCAGCCGAGGTAGGTAATTGCTTACACCGCTCTTGGATACTTGTTTGCCAACACGTCCTCTTTGTCTGGTTCACTGCGGAGTTGAGGGGCGCGGCGGGGCGGGGCGGTTCGGGGCGGGGCGGGGTGGTTTGGAGGGGTGCGCAGGTGTCGTCTGCACCGTGCTCCACCTAATTACCACGGCCGCTCCCCCAGGCCCGTACGTCGGGTCCCCGGGCCATAACCACTTCCAGCGTCGCGGTCCCCACCTGCACGTCGCAGAGTTCTCTCCCCCCACCCCCAAACTATGTGAGGGACCTACAGGTCAGCCATTGAGACGTATGTTATCGGCGGGTGTGCGCGGGGGGAGGGGCGGGGGGAGCGCCGCGCCAGCGGGAGGAAGGGTTAGTCCTAAAATAACCCCGAGTGTTTGCGCGACCATTTCTCATACCGATCCCTGTCCGGGTG